GAGGTGACGAGTGGTGAGTTCTACCCTGCATTTGCTAGCAATCCAGGGGCCCCCAAACCAAGACCTGGATTCCTGCTGCCAGCCCCTGGAAACGCTCAGCCTTGCAGCGAGCAGCCCCGGTGGGGAGACCCGAAACCAGCGCTGCGTTTGCCCGCAGGACACTGTCGCTGCATGCGTTACATTTCTCAGTAACGAGAAAATGAGTTACATTGAGTGAATGTGAGCTTGCATTCGCCCTACGTACTGCTTGCCCTCTCCCCAGCTACAGCTGCAGGCTAAAGAACTGGGAGTGCAGTTGGCAAAATACACCTCTTTCTCCCGTTTTTCTCCTGGTCAGTATGCCCAGGAGTGTGGCTGCCCTTTTCCCTGTTGTTTAGCTGTCCACCTTCCAAGCACGGCTCTCCATTTTCCTCTGCATCCTTAAGGACTGTACGCTCAGCTTCAGCAAAGGCGTTTAAGTAGAACTGAGACTTGCAGGCTTTGTTCATGAGGACGTGTTGTACTAGAAATGCAGCAATTCACACACAAAAATCAGTGCCAGTTTTTATCCTATCATGCTGTCCCTTTCGGTTAGTAAAAGTCAGGAAATTTTTATGTTGGCTTTTCTTGAAGTTTTTTTTTTATTATTGTTATTCTATCACTTCTTGTTTGCTGTATTTCTTTTTGTTTCTGCAAGACCTTTGTCGGGGAAGGTGTTGAACTGCCTGTGAGTCATGCGGCAGCAATGGGGAGTGGCAGCGCAGAGCTGTGGGAGCCAAGCATCTGAGTTTGTGCCCCGCTTACATCTCACGACAAAGGCTGCTGGTGGGTCACCCAGCTATCCGGGCTGCAGCGCCTAGGGTGGTCAGCCACGATGCCAGCCTCTCCTCCATGTGCCGCTGGCTACGGAAAGCGCATGCCTTAACCTCGATGAATTCAGCTCTGGTTTTGAGCCTTCTTGAGCTTTTTGAAGTCAGCGTAGCAGACTGCAATGAAATTATTTATGCAAAACCTAAATTACGAAGCACAGACCCTTTTTCACTTCCGTGAAATGTCTCAGCCTGAGGGCAAGACAGTTTTATGGACGCAGCAAGCCATGAGCTGAAGAGGTAAAGTCAGATAATGCAATGCTTGCTGAGGCCTCTCAAACGGCGCGGCAGGACTTCCTTCCCCCTAGTCCCAGCGCACGGGTGCATGTTTTTCCAGCTCTGCTAGCTAGCAGGAGGCACCTTTCAGGGAACCACCACAGCAAGGCTCTAGCTAAATTCCTTTGGCCTTTGTCAACGTGGACTTTCTTTGTCGTGTCATCCAAAAAGAGGGAGGACACTACCTGCAGAATCAGTCGTGGGATCGCTAGCCGGGCTTCGTCAGCACTCCCTGCACCCTCCCAAGCACACACAAGCAGTTAATTAGTTAACTGGCCCTGTGTAGCATCCCTGGTTAAAGATAGATTGCAGCGCAGCAGCAGATCAGCAATGGCGCATACCACCAGACTTGGGAACCTGCTTTCACGCGTCAGCGCACGGAAGAGCTCAGGAGGGAAACTAGGGGTAAAATTATCATCTCTGGGGTCTTCAGAAATGCGCAAGAAGTGGTGGAGATAGCACCTCAAAACTGGGGTGGGGTTTTTTTTTTGGAGGAGAAAAAAGCCATCTTTGTTACTGTGGAAACCAAGCAACGAACAGCAGCTTGTTACTTCTCTTGCTTCGCGGGGGAGATGCTGGCACAGTCAGCCCCAGCGGACCTCGGGCTAGCAGGCTGCAGCTCGAGGCAAAGGGAAGGGGCCAAGGAGGAGGCGTCTGGGAGGTCACAGACCCCACCGCAAAGTGAACTGTCGCTCAGGAGCTGGCACCATACCTGAGACAAGGAAAGGGAATGGCAAAGAGGACATACAAGAGGACGGAGATCAGGAAGAGGGCATCATAGGAAGGAACTGGTGAAGAAGGGGATCGGTTTGATCTGTGATGGGACTGAAGAAGGCTTTGTGACAGCTGAGGGCAGCCTGGCTCAGCCAGAGCAGGCAACAGAAATGGATGTGGAGACGTAGCAGCATCTGATGGAAAAATAAGCAGGCAAACATGGCTGTAGCAAGTGCCTCTGAGAGACAATCACTGCACCTCTTCTTCCTCCTCACCCTCCATCCCCTGGCAAAGTGCTCTGCGCCTGGTCCTGCACTAGCCATTGTGGGCTCCAGGAGCTGCAGCCTGCCCCTGGCCCCCCCCCCTGCCACTCGGCTTCTTCTGCCTTTGCAAAAAGAGCATTGGCAGGACCCAAAACCCTGGTGACTAAGCAGCAGCTTGCTGCCACGGTGCCGGCCCGCACACCGGACAGGCAAGGGCCATTTGCTGCTGTGTGAGGCCCTTCTGCGGCTCCGTGGCTGAAGTCCCCTGTACCCTTGGCACAGCTTGTCACCACGTCCTTGTGCATGATTCACAGGCTTGTACATGTTAGCACACTGCTGGCGCTTTCACCACCAACTGTTCTTTCAGAACAATGAAAATCATGTTTTCCTTCCTAGCAAAGTTTCTGTCCTCCCAGTGGCCCTGCGGCAGGGTTGTTTGTACAATGTATGGCAAGCCTTGCCCGTAGACAAGGACCTGCCCAGGCCCGCAGGTCCCTGTGCTCACCCAGGCCGAGGCCAGAGAATTAATGGGACGATGAAGTGAAGAGTTATTACAACCAAAGCGAAGTGAGAGTGCTGCCGTTCAGTCACCTGCAGTGGCCTGGCACGTGCAGTTTTGTCGGACGTTTAGACACGCAAGCGAATTACACAGAAGATGTGAAGCACAGGTTTCTGACTCCTACCACTGAAGCCAGCGCGTCTGATGGGCAGCTCATGTGGTCTTGCAGGTCCCTGAACCTCTGCTCTCCTTTGCCTTTGCAGCTGCTGCTCGGCCGAGTAAAGCTTCTAGTCAGCGCCTGTTACTTACGCTTCGTTCCTCAAAATGCATGCGCCATTCTTACCCGGCAGCAGTGCTTAAAGAAGTGTCAATCTGCAGTCCCAATATCCCATAAAATGATTCAGTAGCCAGGATAACAGAGAAGAGCTTCCAAGGAGAAGGGGAAGACTGCTGATGTCACCAATGTCCATATTAGCTATGCTGGAAAACAAGTTTTTCACATCAAAGAAAACAGATGAGAATTCCTGAAACATCTCAAGCAGCCTGAACACTTCCAGACAGAGCTTGTTTTGCCTGGTTAAAATTATGCTAGAGCGCAAGGAAAATATTGCTGTTTGTGTAGGTGAGCACTGAGGGAGAGTGCAGAGTGCAGCGAAGAGGAATGGGGGTGCCCCATGGTGCTCCTGTGCAGTCGTAACCATCAGTAACCAGTCCTGCTGGTGACCAGTGAGTCTCACAACATATGGCAGCAGCAGAGTACACAACCATTGCTCACCTGTCAGCAGCCAGCCTGCACAGATGAATTTGGCCAGCACTGGCCATTCATAGCTGGGCCTGTGGGTTTCATGGCAGTGGTGGCCACATGCTTCTGAATGGACAACCACGCTCTCAGAGTTGCGTGCTCTCCTGTCACCTCCACTGTCAGCCTCAGGAACTGGTCACAGTTCCAGGACTCCCTGACGAACAGCACAGCCCCTCCTAGTTAAGGCGGGCATTTCTCCATGAAGTGTCCTTTGAAAGACCCTCTGTCATAGAATCACAGAATGGTTTGGGTTGAAAGGGAACTTCTAGATCATCTAGTTCCAGCCCCTCTGCCATGGACAGGGACACCTTCCACTAGACCATGTTGCTCCACGCCCCATCCAACTCTTCCATGGAGGGGGCATCCACGGATTCTCTGGGCAACAGGTTCCAGTGCCTCACCACCCTCACAGTAAGGAATTTCTTTCTTCTGTCTAATCTAAATCTGCCCTCTTTCAGTTTGAAGCCATTACCCCTTGTCCTATCACTACATGCCCTTGTAAAAAGTCCCTCTCCAACTTTCTTGTAGGCCCCTTCAGGTACTGAAAGGCTTCTATGAGGTCTCTCCTCTCTCTTCTGTCCTCTTCCCCTGTCTCAGCTGCAGTTGCTGCTACTGCAAGCTGTAGCCAACACAGGCTGGCAGAGCAGGCATAGGGCTCACCGAGCCACAGCCAGCCAGAAGAGCAGGTCAAACACATCGTCAGGAGCCACTGCCTGCAACCAGCAAGCAGCAACATTGCGTGTGGAGCTGTCTTGGCCAGAGCAACACATTAGGACTTTGCAAAGTCCCCGGCAGTCCCTGAGAAGCAGGAGAACATGGGAAGCCAAACAGGGCTTGCAGAGTTTGACCTGCCAGACGTGCAGTGTGGACCCTCCTGGCTATTTCCTCTTTCATACCCTGTTGGTACCATATGAGAGACGCCATGTAAGTTAGGCCTGACTCACTCACAGAAGAAAACTCTGTGGGGACGAAACAACTTGATCCAGTGACTGGTTCTATGTGGAAGCAGCAAACGCCTGGTTTAGTTTCGTTCCTCTGCTGTGACTGCATTCCTTCGATGCCACAGGACGTATTCTTGCAGTCACGAAGTGAGGGTTACCTTAGAAATGCAAATACCATCTTTATTTCTTAAAGAAATACATGTTTGGTGGCAAAGCACATGGAGTGGAAGTATCCCAGGTCTGCACGTGGGTTGTTACTGGGGACATCCACTGGGTGTGCATCCCCTGGGAATACACTGGGCAGGATGAGCTTAGTTCCTCTGCAGTGGCTCTGACCCCCTGTCAAGTTAGCACTCAGGGTATTAAGTAGTGCCGCGGGGTTTGTTTACTGATAAACTTGCTAAGATGTGACATCTGTGTGAAAAGGCAGCACATGGCTAAAGCTGATTTTTCTGACACAGCTCAGCAGTTACAAGAGCCTCATAAAAGAGCAAAATCCCACTCTCCTCTTCAGCTTAATCAGTGGGTCTGAAAGCTGATTTTCATCCAGCTCCTGCTCTTTTTGTCCATCTAACCAACTGCTTTATGGCTGCCTAGAGAAGTCCTACAGATGCTCTGGAAAAGCCTTTTCCTTCTGTCTTCAGGATTTGCTGGGTCATGGAGTCCCCTGTCATGCTGCCCTGGCAAGTGTACGTGACCACCAGAGGTGCCTCGGAGGGCAGGCGACGACGATGCACCTTGAACGACCTGGCTCTGACCCAGGAGGACTGGACAGCCTGTCGCAAAGAAAGCCACACGCTCCCCAACCCCTGCCGGAGCCATCAGCTGGGCAAGCTGCTGCAGAGGCAGAGCTCACCTGCAGCTCAGCGAGGCAGTGTCACTGTGCGGAGGTGGCACAGACACGCGCTGCGTGCCAAGGCAGGCACCCTGGTGTGACTCCACGTCCTCCACCTCCCCTGCTCCCTCTTACACCACCATAGGAAGTTTTCTCCCCACCTCTGCTCTCATCGCTCATTCCTGGCCTCCAGCCATGGTTTGCTGCTCCCGGTGTCTCTGGTACAACTATCTGCAGAACCGCATTGTGAAACGAGCTGGGTTAAAACCCAATGAGGGCAATCAGGTTTCTGGTTTCTTCTAAAGGGCTGTTTTAAACCTCCATCGTGTTAGCAGCTCATTTACAGTTGCTTCAGTTCAGGGAGCAGGGGACAACAGCACAAGGGGACAGGGATGGGGACAGGATGGGTAGGAACGTCTTCGGTTGACTTTGCTGCCAAAGCTGGCAAAGCAACAGCCCTACACCTCAACCTCACTAGAAGCTCTCTCTACTCTTCCCGGGCTCCCATCACTTTGCTGGCAGATTCCTACATCACTTGAAGGAGTTGCATTTCCCTTTAGGGAGTAAAGGTTTCACGTAGTTTGGCATTTATTCTGTCACGGCGTATGTGGGGCTATCATTAACACTAACAGGAATGACGCATCCATCCAGCAGAGAATAATCTCCTTAACGGCTAAATAGGAACGCTGTGTATGTTAAACTGCAGGCAGCTAGTCAGCTTTGTGATGTAGTTTTCCCTCTGATAAAATTGAGACTCATTTCAAAACAGGAAATTAATTTTCCCTCTTTTTATTCAATGGGTGCCACAAATACAAACCTGCCCCTTGACAACCTGGAGAGGTCTCAGCTGTAAGTGATGTATTTATAGGAGCAGACGTGCCGTAGATGCCTTAACGTAACACCAGCTTCTGGCTTTGTTGGACTGATGGCTTCTGAAGTGACAGATAGCCCGCGACAACATTTGTCTCAGCTCACACCCTGTGCCAGCCCACGAACAGTTTTTACGGGCTGAATTTAAGCCTTCGAAGTTTCTCTGCTGTAAAGGAGGAGAGCAAGGTGATTTGAAACAAGGGTGAAAAAATGCAGGTGGATGGAAGGTACTTGATTTGTAGAGGTATCAGTTACAACAAAATATTTAGCTATTCTTAAGAAGAGAGTAAAATCTGGGTGCATTGTCAGAAAATTCAGATCAGTTGTACTTAAGTCCATGCTATTTTTTCAATAATTACAGTTCTGGCTATAGATTTGCATAAATAAGGGTAGGATTTCTTTGTTATGCATTTTAATAAATGTAACAGAAATACAGCTAGAGAAAATGGGAACCAGGGAAAAGAGCCACTGGGGATCCAACAGCAGTGAGGCTTGGGCCTAGCATTTGAACTGCTGCCTTCTCCGTTACGCATTCATCTCTTCAGTAGATGTATGGCAGTTGCTGTTTTTCAGTATTTAGAGTGCATATACCACTGCACTGCCAAAACATGTTTTGAAGAGTGTGCACAATGGGCAGCCCTGCGTGCACAGCAGCAGTAGCAGATGATGGTACCTGGATGGCATGCACGTTTTTGGAGGCAGTCTAGCTCAAACGAGACTTCGTTCTGCGTTTGGCAATTTGTTTGTTTCCAGCCCTGCTAGCTCAGTTGTACCAGTGAGACTATTTGTCAAGACCCACAACTAGATTTGTATTAAAAACAACCTCCCATACAGAGGAGGTTATTTCTACCCCAGGCTCGTTCACCTTTTGGCCCCAAATCAGGAACTGATCGGAGAAGGACATGTTTCTAAGGGGCAATGAATAGCAAGGGAAGAAGTCACTGCTGAAAGAAATGTGAGTCAAATGACTGCCTAAGATGACCGTCTGTCAGTCCTCCCGTACGTGCTTCACTGCTGCTTGTTTATGGACAAAGATGTTTGTCCTGAGTTGGGGCTAACCTTGAACTGCAGGTGGAGGTTACACATGAACAACAACAAATGTTTAAGTACGTGAATTCACAACTGCGTTAATTAACAAATACTAAGGTATCATTAAAAGTGCAAGAACTGAATTGAAGCTCCTTTTGGTGGTCTCAAGGTCACGAAAGGACCTGGAGAATTCAGGACAAAGTGCATTTCCCTCCATACAAATTCCCACATGGCCATCCCCATCATTCCCATAGGATAAGCTCTTCTACTGCTGGCCACCCAGCAGCTCTCAGCTGCTAAAAAAACCCAAATCAGGCCAGACGTGTGAGACCTACATCTGGGTTAGAACAACCCCCACAGCCCCAGCAGCTCCCCTGGAGCCAGGGGACAAGTCTGAGGTGGATAGGACCAAGACCCATCTTCCCTCACCCCCACTCCTAACCCATCCGCAAACCTGGAGCGGGTCATCAGGTTTCTCCCCAAGAAGAGAAGCTCAGCTCTGGTTAACTGGAAAGGTACCAGGCTCATACTAAAGCACAGGCAAACCACAAGCCAAAGCAATATCTTCCTTGATATTTTGTTAAACGACGGTTCCCCATATAAGCCGTGTATGCTACAGCTGTATATGCTACAACCCAATAATTAACAGCTTGTTGATTATGTCTGGGGTGGATAACAAATACATTGTGTCTATCTTCTCTTCTCCCCATCCCAAATAAGGAGGTATTGTGAGTGCCTTTCAGGGCTGCCACTAGCTCCTAACATGGCCTATCTCCAGCATAGGTTACACTGAAAGGGCATAAGAAACCACCACGAGCGAATTCCTTGGTCCTCTTTCTGACCCCTTGCCTCCATCTGTCTTTGCAGCTTCTGACCTCCCTTGAGGAAAGGAGCTGCAGCAGAACTTCTTCTCTTTTTCTCCTCATCCTGGCCATTCCCAGGGGAGTGAGGAGGGCAGCCAGAGCTGGGGTGATCCCATCCAGCCCCCTCAGCTACCACAGCTGCAGGCCTTCAACCTGCAGGGGCAAAGCCGCTGGACGCTGCTGTGCGAAGCCAAGGGAGCGAAGAAATTGGTGCTCTGCAAAAATTCGTATTAATATGCAACCTGGTTTCTTCGGTGTTTTCCTTCAAACGTAATCTCAAACGCTACCTCTTCTATCATCACTTTTGAAACCAAGTATTTCTCCTGGAAAGCACTTTTCTGCCTCGTGTTGGTACAGGAAAGATCACCCACAAAGCAGAGGCTCTTTAGAGCTTCAGATTACGAGTAGTGGCTGTTCTTAACACAAGTAACAGGCAGCATTCATAAAAAACCTTAGCATGGGAGCAGGGTCAAGCCAAGAACGTGAATATTCTGCTGCTTAAAGAGTACTAGCCTGCCGCAGATTCATCCTCCCTGCTCATGGCAGGGGGCTTGGAACCAGATGATCTTTAAGGTCCCTTCCAATCCTTACCATTCTATGATTCTATGATTCTGTGGCTGCCAAATATTGTTTGAAGAGATGAAGAGGGAAGATCCGATGAAGAAGCAATGGGGTTTTGGCTGGTGGACACACGATGTACAGGAGACCTTTGCAGATAATGCTCCTTGTTCGCAGAGGAGAAGGAGCTCAGGACTGCAGATGGCTTTGGGCAGTTTGCAATTGCAAGGGATCATATTTTATCTTTCACTTGTGACCAAGTCAGCTGCTGTATTGAAAAATGACCACGGGCAAAATCAGTGCTGGACACAGCCACAATATGGGGAGGAGAAACCATGCAGAAATACATCTGCTCCCCTGGCACACAGCCCAGCACGTTAACCAGCAGTGCTGGGGAAGAGGAGGGGAGAAAGAGCTACAGCCTCCAGAGGCTTCCCTTCCCCGTTCTGGCGGCGAGTCTTTCTTGGGCAAAAATCTTCCCACATCGGGTGAGTTTGTGCATCCCCGCGCAGCACACTCTAAACTCCAGGCACATGATTAACTGATTTTCTGTATAGGGGCAATCTCAAGCGTATCCTTAGATGCTTTCATCCCAATGTCTTACCTGGGACCCCCGACAGAGCAGGGTATCAGATGCTCGAGGGAGCATGCACAGGGACCCAGTTACCAGGCTTGCCAGTCTGTGCAGGTGTATAGGGAGGCAGCCAAGAGGGGTTGTGTGGTCAGTCTGTGAGCTTCCCCGAGGATGCCCTGGGGTTGGAATTCCAGTTCTGGGCTCCCCAATTCAAGAAAGATGAGGAGCTACTGGAGAGAGTCCAGAGGAGGGCTACGAGGAAGGTGAGGGGACTGGAACATCTCTCCTACGAGGAAAGGCTGAGGGAGCTGGGCTTGTTTAGCCTGAAGAAGAGAGGGCTGAGAGGGGACCTTATAAATGCTTATAAATATCTCAAGGGTGGGTGTCAGGAGGATGGGGCCAGACTCTTTACAGTGGTGCCCAGCGACAGGACAAGGGGCAATGGGCCCAAACTGAAGCAAAGGAAGTTCCAGCCGAACATGAGGAAGAACTTACTTGCTTTGAGGGTGACAGAGCCCTGGAACAGGCTGCCCAGGGAAGTTATGAATTCTCCTTCTCTGGAGATATTCAAAACCCGGCTGGACAAGGTCCTATGCAGCCTGCTGTAGGTGACCCTGCTTCGGCAGGGGGGTTGGACTAGATGAACCCCTGAGGTCCCTTCCAGCCTCTACCATTCTGTGATTCCGTGGCAGCCAGAGGAGCAGGACCCTACTGTCCTTCTGAGTAACAACCTTTCTCAGCCACCGAGAAGCAGATCCCACTGTGCTGCCTCATCCTGTTCACCCTACCAGCTGCTGGAGACAGCAGCAAGGGGGATCCCAAAGGCAACGACTTTGGACCAGAAACCTCCTGATCCCCACCAGCCCCTTGCTAGAGCTGTGCAAGCTTTCACACGTGCTGGCAGTCCCCAGGGGATATGAACTGTAGCATGGATTGGGGTCTTGCAGTGCAAGTGCTCAGGGAATTATTTATTTGTCTGGGTTTCTTTGCTGCCGCCATGGAGGGGTACTGATCTCTGCCTGGGAGCCCTGTGTGCAGTCACTGTGTCAATATTTAATCATGGTAATTAGTAGCAGACTGGGTGGCTTAGAAATTCACAGCTCAGCATTTACTTCATTCACCCATCTTTTGGGCACGTCAGGGGTATGTCTACAGCAGAGAGAAGAAAAGGCTCAGTTAAGTGGAGGTGCCCCATTTTTTTAAAAAACATTTCATTGATAGGCTTTCACAAATTCCTTTTGCTCTTTTTCACGACGCTGTAAACCTAGCAACAAAGGACTGCATTCCAGGTCACAGCGTATTACTTTTGTACCTAACCCACAGGCAGCTGCCCTTTGCTACCAGCGTTTTAAGGCTTTTAAACACCACGGACTGGTGGCAGTGCAGAAAGTGGCCTCTTTCCTCTGAAAACTGGAATAAGGCAGTCTCACACAGCCCTATCCCCACACTACATCAGAGCAGAACATGCTTCCAATTATGCTGACCAATGCCCTGCACGTCTCCCAAAGGCATCAGCTACTGGGAGTGGGTCCTCTGTTTTAAGGCATGAGGCTCAGCCAACAGACTGGGGCTAGCTGCTTTGAAATCTAGGAATTTCTGTTCAGGAGAGTTATAAATTAAGCTCTTCTTGGGAACATTGTAAATCAGATCCGAGGCCACCTGCCTTGAAGGGGCTTTCCAACACGGCAGAAGGACTCTCACTTGTGGTGTACTTGAGCTGGGGCTCCAGGACATGCCAGTTCCTCAGCTCTGAAAGTTAAAGTTAATAGGTGTAAATGAAAGCCAAATGCAAAGAGTTGCAAGGGGAATGGGCAATATAATGGCGGATAAAACTTAACATTGATAAATGTTTCTGGAACTCTTTTTTCTGCAAAACAGAAAGTGCAGAGGGGGATACTGAAGGTCTATAAAGCCATGAGTGATGAGAAGGTGGAGAACAGGAAAAAGGTTTTCACTTTTTCCTCTGATACTGGAGGTAAGGGCCGTTAAACACAACTAGTAGGAGGCAGGTTCAAATAAGTGAAAGGTGTTTCTTCACCCAAAATATACTGAAATGGTGGAATAATACATCAACAAAAAAAAGGCGGCCAAGCAGAGTCTCCATCCCTTATTGGATGTGGGGGGGAATATTGCCAACAAGGATGAGGAAAAGGCTGATGTACTTAATGCCTTCTTTGCCTCAGTCTTTAATAGTCAGACTGGTTATTCCCAGAGTAGTCAGCCCCCAGTGCTGGAAGATAGGGAAGGAGAGCAGAATAAACCTCACATAGTCTAGAAGGAAGCAGTTAACGACATGCTATGTCACCTGGACACTTACAAGTCTATGGGGCCGGATGGGATCCACCCAAGAGTGCTGAGGGAACTGGTGGAGGAGGTGGCCAAGCCACTCTCCATCATCTATCAGCAGTCCTGGCTAACAGGGGAGGGCCCAGATGACTGGAGGATCACCAGTGTAACACCCATCTACAAGAAGGCCCGGAAGGAGAATACTGGGAACTACAGGCCTGTCAGCGTGACCCCGGTGCCCAGCAAGATTATGGAGTGATTCATCCTGAGTGTGCTCACCGGGCATGTGAAGGACAACCAGGGGATCAGGCCCAGACAGCATGGGTTCATGAAAGGCAGGTCCTGCTTGACTAACCTGATCTCCTTCTATGATGAGGTGACCCACCTAGTGGGTGAAGGAAAGGCTGTGGATGTTGTCTACCTGGACTTTAGTAAGGCCTTTGACACTGTTCCCCACAGCATCCTCCTGGAGAAACTAGCTGCCCATGGTTTGGATGGTTGTACTCTTCACTGCATAAAGAACTGGCTGAATGGCCAAGCACAGAGAGTGGTGGTGAATGGAGTTAAATCCAGCTGGTGGCTGGTCACAAGTGGTGTCCCCCAGGGCTCAGTTTTGGGTCCGGTCTTGTTTAACATCTTTATCAATGATCTGGATGAGGGGATGGAGTGCTCCCTCAGTAAGTTTGCAGAGGGAAAAAGTTGGGTGTGAGCGAAAAGATCTTGGGGTGTTGGTTGACAGCCGGCTGAACATGAGCCAGCAGTGTGCCCAGGTGGCCAAGAAGGCCAACGGCATCGTGGCTTGTATCAGGAATGGGGGGGCGCGCAGGAAGGAGTAGGGAGGTGATCGTGCCCCTGTACTCAGCACTGGTGAGGCCGCACCTCGAGCACTGTGTTCAGTTTTGGGCCCCTCACTACAAGCAGGACACTGAGGGGCTGGAGCATGTCCAGAGAAGGGCAACGAGGCTGGTGAGGGGGCTGGAGAACAAGTCTCATGAGGAGCCACTGAGGGAGCTGGGGCTGTCTAGTCTGGAGAAGAGGAGGCTGAGGGGGGACCTTATTGCTCTCTACAGCTACCTGAAAGGAGGGTGTAGTGAGGCAGGTGTTGGTCTCTTCTCCCAGGTAACTAGCAATAGGACAAAAGGAAATGGCCTCAAGTTGCATCAGGGGAAGTTTAGGTTAGATAATAGGAAAAATTTCTTTACCGAGAGAGTGGTCAGGCATTGGAACAGGCTGCCCAGGGAGGTGGTGGAGTCCCCATCCCTGGAGGTGTTCAGAGAATGTGTAGATGTGGCACTTCAGGATATGGTTTAGTAGGCATGGCAGTGTTGGATTGATAGTTGGACCTGAAGATCTTAGAGGTCTTTTCCAATCTATGTTTCTATGATTCTGTGATTCTAATACATTACTTCACTCCCAAAGGATGTGAGTGTCCAAAGTTTAGCTCAACTAGGCAAATTTGTACAAGAACAGGTTTAAAGGGGGGACCAGAAATGGCTGTAGTGCCCCCTCCACCATTCTCTTTTTAGTAGCAGAAGAAAAGCTGTGTGCAGCCATCAGAACGGGAGCTGCATTAATTCCGGAAGTGGAGAGACCTATAGTCCAGTGAAGCAAAATTTGCTGTTTGTATAACAAAACAGTGACGGACTCACAACATACATCTCTGTTACATATTGAAGCCTCTGTTGTCAGCACTTACTGCACAACAGAAAATAGTTTCTGAGTCAATGTCCCCTTCCCATCCATCCTTACCCTGTTCCATGTCTCTAGGAGGGTTGGACACACCTCTCACCAGTCAAGGCCCTCCCCAGAAATATGGCCCCGTGGGCAAAGTACTGATAACAGTGCTCCAAGACACATGGTAAACTGGGATCCTGCTTTTTTAGACTGCAAATACCGTGAAATAGTGCAAATATAGAACCAGCAGCCTCTCTCCTGTCCCTGCCCAAAGGTGCTGGCCAGTGGGACCACAGACTGGGAGAAGGTCTATGGCACAGTGATGTAGCAGAGGGGGCAGCAAGGCAGGGGCTATCTGTCACAGCCCCGTGCACAAGGGGACCAGCTACCTGGCTTTCTGCCCTTGCACATCTGTACTGAGCTGTCTTCTTTGTGACACCGGGTGAGATCCCCCTACCACCATCTCAATGGCCTGTCCACTGTCTTGCACTGTGCAGAAGATACTCGAGATATTCTTATCACCTTTCTAGAATGCCTGTGTGTGCATGCTAGTGCCTATGCATTAATTACAGTCATGTAAATACCAATGTATGTATTTCTATAGATAGACATAGTTATTTTGGGTGTGCTATTTTCCAAAGAGATGAGGCTTTTGAAAGGGCCTCTTCTTCCCAGAGGAGGCAATTAGGTAGTCTACCTATTTTAATAAGGACTGTATCCTGCTCTCCCAGCGATCAGTGAGAACAACTGCCACAACATCCGAGCAGCGCAGACGGCGAGTGTTCGGCTTAATCATTTTTCGACACGTCCCGGTCTCAGTGGAATGTTCATGAATAATTAACCCTGCTGGGGCGCAGGAGCTGGCTCGTCGCTGCAGACCCGCAACAAAACAGACAACAAAACCCCAGTCAAACCCTGACAGCTGCAAGGCCCCACGGCCCCTCCGCTGCCGACAGCAGTGCCTCCCGGAGCTTTTGTTTCTCTGCAGCCGAGATGACGGCCTTGCGCGTCTTTTCACCAGGGTACACCTTCCCTCCAGACACAGATGATGTGCACATAGGACTGAGCGTTGTCAGAGCCTGCCATGCAATAGGGTATTAAGGGAAAATAAAAGGTGGCTTTCTTCAAACCCAGACCTTCTCATTTCCAAGTGGTCTGGCTTTCAATGAGAGCAGCTTATTTGGCTGGACTACTCCTTGCTGCGTGAAAGGAGAAGGAAAGAGTCACAAAATATGCCCTGTGTTGGCAACGATTAGAAAAACCAGTTGCCTTCTCAATGCAAATGGAAATTGGTAATGAGGGACCAATACGCTCAGAGCTTTCTGGGTCCTGCTTTCTCATCCCCGTGCCGCCACCCTTGCATGTGTCAGCGTCCTTCCTGCGCACTGACCCTGTGCCAGCACTGCCATTGCATCGCTGTGGCCTCGCGGAGTTCAGCGCTGCGCCTACCGACCTAGCACTGTGTCAGCAAGGGATGGAGGTGGCTGTGCTCAGACTCGTGTCACGCGACAGTGCAGAGGAGACATGTGAGTGAGGGCTGACATGCCCCAGCGGCATGGTGGTGTTTGCTTGGCTGGCTGGTTTCACTTCTGAACCCCACTCCAGCATGGAGAACTCCAGGTGTGTCTCTCCATGAGCCAAGGTCCTGATTTAGCGTGACATTCTACAGCCTTCACCACCTCATGGACTGCTCAAGGCTGCAAACACTGAAATAGCTGCTTTGGTTTTGTCTGGAGCAAACAGTGGAAGCTCCGGTTTGGGCTGGGATGCAGGAGACTGGTTTGGGAACTGGCTGCAGCTCCAACAATGAGAACTGCTCCAGACAGCCTGTGGGCTTTCCTCTGAACCCCTGCTACCTGCATTCCCATGTCCTTTCCCTGCTTTTCACACAGTTCTCTAAAAGCAACCTCCTATTGCCTGTTCTCACGCCTGCCTCTGATCTGGAGGGTGACTGCACAAGCCATTTTACTTCTGTAGCTGCTCTTGGTCTTCCCACCCACCACAAGCTCTGCAGAAAGACCGAAGAGTGATGGTTCCTGATTTAACCTGCATGAACAATACCATGCTGCAGTGAAAAAAGGGAGACACTTGATTCATACAGATAAGTGAGTGTCATATATTAGACACTGTGAGCACCACAGAGCTGCTGGAGTCCTGTATTTGGCATCTAACAGCACACCGAAAAAAACCAATTGATTCGGTATTTCAGTAGTTCAGGGGAAAACAATGACCCAGGAGGGGAGGGGTGGCTAGATAACACCATCAGTGAGAAAAGACTGTACCACTGGACAGTACTCAGTGAGATGAGAAAGCAAAACAGAAGATTGAAAAGAACAAGGACTGCAGCCCTCAAAGATGCTGCTGCTGATGTGGAAGGAATAGTCTTTCCATCACAAGCAGGGCAAGAAATGAACTTCAACTGCAGCAAGGGAAACTTAGACCAGAAAGTTAAGTTTCCTAACTCTATGCATTATGAGACACTGGAGGAGATTGCCTGGGGTGCTTATTGAATCTCTGTCACAGAAGGTTTCTGCGAGCAGAGTAGGAAAATGCCTGTCAAAAATAGCTTACATCTAATTGATTCTGCCTTGGAGCAGAAGGACTGACTAGATGGCTACTAAAGGCCTGAGGCAGTCCTATTTCCTGAGGTCCTGTTAGATGTGTTAATTATCTAAATAGTTCATAAGAGCTAGGTATTTGTTTTTAATACCTAGTATATCTGGCATGTTTTGCATGCTCTTAACCATGGTCTGGCTACAAAGTGAAACTTCTCTTTCAGTCATCTAGCGATGTCCCAAGCAAGTCTTCTGTATTAAAAATGCCATTCATGGAACATATTTTTTAAGAGCATCATACTCATCAAGTTGCCAGCCAGCCAGCTTCAGGACATGGAGAACATGAAATACCTGGCTCACATTTTTGAAACCTGTGTCCCCACGTCCTCCTTAAGTTGGGAAAGTTCTGTGATTTATGACAATAACCAGCCTTGATTGGACTTGACCAGGGTTGGGAGCG